CCCACATACACAGGACGTTTGAGATCTACCCAGGACCCCAGCCATCGCCTTCCACATGGTTCTAGCGCTGTAGGGCGGCACCCCATCATCTATGCCACCACAGCTGGGCCTTGTCACTGCACTCTTGGACAACCTGAGTCAGCACACATTGCCTCACCTTTTACCTCACAAAAATATTATAAATTATAGTTTCCACTTATTACTGTTTTACAGGTCAAACAGCTTGGGTTTCTGTAAAATGCGGAAGTTATTTATTTTGGAAAATTACACATCATCTTTTCCCTCCTCAGAAAAGGCTAGATTAAGTATTCTGGGGATGAAAATTAAAATGTCTCCTATACATTCTGGATATATTTCTGGATATATAACACTCTTAATTAACGAGCATGTGAAATTCATCAATGTCAGATATCAACACAAATTTCAAATTTAGTTAAATGAACAGATATACCTAATGGTTCATTTTCAATACTTTTTGTATAGGAAATTCAGTCTGCCTTGGGTTGTAATTTTATAGCAATCATCTATAATAAGATGAAAATGTCAAAAAAATTACCACTTGGGAATTATAGAAAAAAAAACACTAAAATTTTGAAAGAAGACTACTTTTTTATGTAATGTAAAGTTTTTCAATAATGTTTCAGAAAGGTGTACTAGAAAATGTAGAACTCTTTCTAAAATCAGACCAACAGAAACCTTCTTAATTATATTGGGCATAGTTCTAATGTCTATATATAGATTACATTTTTTTGTTTTGTTTGAATTGTTCCTATCATTTTTTGTAAGTTTCTTTTATTTATTTCTCCCATGTATAAGAAATAGAGAGAAACAGAGATAGAGGCGCCCCAACAGGGTCTTCATTCCAGGAACCACCCCTATCCCAGCCAGCCAGGATCATGGGCCCATATGTGCCCAGTGTATTTAGAAAGATCTCCAGACATAAACCCAGCATGTTCCCAGGTGGATCAGCTCCACAGAGTAGGGGGTGGTTACTGCTACATTACAGTCCAGTCCCTCTGTCACTCTGTGTTTTAAGAGAGGAACAGATGAATGGGTTGGAAAAGTGTGGCACATATACTCAATGGAATACTGCTCAACCATAAAAAATAAGACCCTGACATTCGATAGAAATTGGATGAATATGGAAGATTTGCTGCTGAGTGAAGCAAACCAGGCTATGAAAGCGAGATATTGTATGTGTCCACTTAGCATATACCAACTGTCCACACTTTATGGGGGAAATTGGGAGATTGGAGGATATAGAAGCATCAAAAATGGTTATAGAGTCTGGAGACAATATGGGAGGAGGATAGGAGAAAGGGGAGTTTTCAGAGGATCTGGTATCTAAAGTTTCCTGAATCAGTCATAGGCTTGACCTAGAGAGCAGAAATTAGGTACAGAGCTTTAACCATACTTGTCACAATTATCTGGGTGCTATCTTCCCTCAGTTACTTTTCTGGAAATTAACTTTAGTGCTTACAGAGCCTGTTTACTTGGGAAATTAGTACATCCAAGAGATTGCGGTACCTCCAGATAACCATCTGGCCCCCTGACCTGCAAGGTCATGGATGCACACTCAGTGCCTCATCATTTGCAGATTGCTTTCCCCTTCAAGGCAGGTATGCCCGAGCTTTGTTCCTGATGCCACATAGCTTAGGGTCTATCCAGAGGCCAGGGAAGTGAAAGACTGTCTGACTAGAGCCAGAGCCAGGCAAGGCAAACTGCTGTGGGAGGCTCATAGTCATGGAGAGGAAACCCTAATGAAGGGAGAAAACCAGAGGGCACAGGCTTCAGTTTTCCCCAGAGGCAGCCTGTGTGAGCTGTTGGATATAGCTGAGACAAGGGGGGTACGGGGGAGTATGCAGAATAAGCATGAAGAAGAAGGTAGAGGTAGACACAGTCCAGGGAGTAGAAAGTGTCTTTGACAAGTGAGAAGTTTGAGGTGTACTCTAGGGCTGTGCACTCTGTAAAGGGGTAAAATAAGGACCAGAATTTACATTTAGAACCTAGGTAGAACCTGGTACCAGGCTTAGAGGCCAGGCTGGTGTGGAGTGTCAGTACAGAGGTAAGAAAAGCCCAGGAAGGACAGAGTTCGAAGAAAGCAGAGGACAGGAAACACTTAGCTCTAATTTCAGGTTGCAAGACTATGAACAGAGGTACCGAATAAAAGCAACCTACAGGCCCAATTTCCAAATCTTCTCTCACTCTAGATTTTGTCTTAACAGACACTGTGATATCACTATTTCTCTTCATGTTTGTATTTTCAAAGCTTATTTATATGTTTCTTCCATAAGAGACAGAGACAGAACCAGTGAAATAAGCACTAAAGCATCCCCAGCAGGGTCCTCGTGCCTCGAACGATCTCTAGCCTCAGCCAGCCAGGATCACAGGTATCTGTGCATCTGTGTGCTCAGAGAGGTCCCAGGATGTGACCACAGGATCTTCCCCACATGGGCCAGTTGCACTACTGTCGTGCCACTGTCTGCCCCAAATTCATATTTCTATAGCAGAGTGAATCATCTTTTTCTGGAAAGCAGCGTCAACCCTTGACATTCCTCTACAGAATGATAATTCTCTCCTAGTCCACCAGCCCTGACCTGTGGAATAAGCTTCCTCTTCCTTTCCCCAAAACATGGGACAGCCATGAGTCCCAGAACCCTCATCAAGTAGCATCTGAGCTCCATTTCTACCTTCCTGCTGGCACTGCTAATACCCCATCTAACACTGTGCCCCGTATCTCATCAGGGCCTATAACCTGGCCAGTTGCTTCTCACAGTCTTATCCCTATAAACTAAGTCCCCTCCCCATGTTTTATGGTCAGCACTCTAAGATTCTGTGTGCCCTCTTTCCATAGACCACACCAATTTTCTGAGCCTTCACTGTGTTCCAAGAGCCCAGTTGTTTCCTTCATGTTCCCATTCTGTTGTCCTGGCTTTTTATCTTATGATTTTGTTTAGGAAAGAAGCAATCAGGTTCAAACCTACTTTCTTCAACCAGTAACCTTATCAATACCTTCCTACTCTTGGCCCCCCTTAACCCATCAGTCTACCCAGGACCTCCATGGGATCTTTCTCTCCTCCCATTCCAGAGGTATTTTTTGCTCTGCTCCTTGCTACAAAGCTTCAGCTCTCACTCAGTCCTCCTCGGTCTCTGCCAGGACACTGATACTCCCAGTACTTCTCTTTGTTAATTATTCCCTTTACTCCTACTTAAAAATGCCCAACGACAATGCTCACTGAGTATATTATTTTCATAAGAGTCCTATAATACAAATTCTATTATAATGTCCCATTATATAGAGAAGGGAACTGAGCCACAGAGAAGTCAAGTAACTTGCAAACAACTACAAAGCTAACAAGTAATAAAGGCAGAGTTTGAACACAGGCTGGTCACTCAGTTCTCCTCGGTCTCTGCCAGGACACTGATCCTCCCAGTACTTCTCTTTGTTAATTTTTCCCTTTACTCCTACTTAAAAATGCCCAACAACAATGCTGAGTATATTATTTTCATAAGAGTCCTATAATACAAATTCTATTATAATGTCCCATTATATAGAGAAGGGAACTGAGCCACAGAGAAGTCAAGTAACTTGCAAACAACTACAAAGCTAACAAGTAATAAAGGCAGAGTTTGAACACAGGCTGGAAGATTCAAATGCCCATCAATCTATGACTACATTATGGTGCTGTTAACACTTCCTATTCCTTTGAGAGGGAAAAAAAGAGGTATCTTCCTCCCTTTGATCATGACCTTCCCAAATCTACACTTTAAGTAGTTTGACCTTTCCTTCATTTCCAGACTCTGAACAATTTATTAATATTTACTACTTCTTCCTTATCTCCCTGTGCTACTCAATCTTCTTCAAATGTCCATAGAAACGGCTCTTTAGCAGGTCAGCAACGATCTCAAAATTGTCAGTCCAAAATCATTTTTTAATCCAAGGGGATCAGTCTCCTCTTTCCAACTCCTGTGTGAGTATTTGCTTCTAATTCTCCAAAGATAACTGAGTACGTGCTGCCTTTTGCTGTTTTACTCTCACACACTCCCTTGCTCTGAGTGGACAATAAACGCTTGGTCAGCAATGAGGATGTACGTCCCTTACTTCTACTATCCATCTGGTACATAGCGCTTTTCTGGTACCTATGAATTGGCTCTAAATGGAAAATAATTGGAATTGTTTCTCAGTAGTGATCTGACTTATCACTAACTGGTATAAACAGGTTGGGGAAGGTTGCATGCTTTGTTTTCTTCCTCGAATTTGTTTTACCATCTCTGACTACTCTGTGACTGCAGCCCCTGCTTTACAAGCCGTTTTTGTTCCCCCCCCCAGGATATGTTCACTACCCAAGGGGGGAGGGAGAAATTACCCCCTGGGGAGTGGCTGTACCACGCTCCCTTCTTCCCTATTTTCCTCTCAGGATATCGAGCTTGCACACATGCATGCCTGGAGCGGTTTTCAAGCCACTGGAAATCAAAATGCAGTCAGACATGTGGAAATCAAGTGACTTCACCACTGTGCCACCTGCCGGCCCACACAAGAATTTTTAATTAGAAAATGTGGGGAGTGGGAAAGACTCAAATGCCAAAGGATCTGATTTTTTCCACCAACTAGTATGATCCACTCAAGGAACCCCAACACCTCATAACTAAACAACACTTCATAGAAAAGAAAAGGCTCTTCAACACACATCATAAACAGAGTTTTATACAAGAAACTTTGTTTTACAGCTTTTTATTTTTTCCCTTAACTAGCTCAAACTTGGGTTTGATTAATCCAGTTGTCAATGGCATGGTAAGTAGGAATGAAATGAGTGGTCCATACTGTTCATTTTTCCTAAGAGCAAATAAACATATAGTGACTCTGAAAAATTGATTTCCGTTGAAGACATGCTTCTCTGTACCAAATGTGGGAGAGTCTCCCGAGTCTGCATATGGTTGTGTAGGTTTCAGTCTACTCAGGACTCATATCTAACCTACCTGTGCGTTTTTGGTCCTTGCAGCTCCTGATGGTCCACCTCAGGAAGTCCACCTGGAGCCCATATCCTCTCAGAGCATCAGGGTCACCTGGAAGGTAATCCAAGTAAATACTTGTACTCCTGACACTTTTATCATGGGGGTCAGGGAAGAAGCCCTTCTCTCATGTTAAGTGTTATGATGCTAAGATGCTAACATTCTAAGAAACTTTTATGTTTTTAAATTAGGTTGAAAATCCTTTTCTTAAAATTCAGTATTTGTATCCACATTTTGAAAAAAATTTGCAACAAATTCTGTAGAAAATAATGTTGTTGTGTCTTTATTTATTTATTTATTTGAATTGTGAGTGCTCAAGTTCTGGGCTCCACACTAATAGTTTATTCGTGCTTGGATTGTGTGCTCTAATTTCTCCCTTAAGGAAACTTTTTCTAATTGCTTTTCTTAAGTGGCAAAGCATGATGTGTGAGATAGTCCACCACGCAGTCAGAAAGGAGAGAAGTCCTAGCTGTGCGATGAACCAGCTGTGACCTCTAGGAAGCACATTAATGTCTTCACCAGTGAAATGAACTGTTCAATCACCTGTCTCTAAAGGCAGTGGTGCTACCTCAAGTGCGGCTTCAGATACAAACTGTGTATCTCTGCAGAGGGCAGGGAACATTTAGCTCTGATTTCAGGGATGCCATTGGCAAGACTGTGAGTGAGGGGTACAGGAAAAAGACAGCCTACCCAGCTTGTCTGCTGCCAGTCTGTGAGAGACAAAGAAAGCTCAAACCACAGTGGAAACAACTGCTTCACCATGCAGGTTGCTTTGCTAGCAAACATTCTAGCGAAAGAAGCGGTGTTTATTTATTATAGATCCTGTTACATCATCACAAAGCAACACTTTAAGGCACTCCTATCTCACAGATATTTGAGGCAATAGCATGGCACCTACCTGGTGGGTGAAACCACCTTGGAACTTGATGATTCCCTTGAATGTGCTCTTAGAGATAACTGCTGCAGGCCAAATTCCATTTTACCTACAGTGTGGTTACTGAGTCAAAATTTTTGCAGAATTAGACTTAATACTCCAGTTCTGAATTTCTCTCATTGCATGTGTTTTCTTCCCTTTATCTTTTTTTTTATCCTTTTTTTCTGTGTTCTCATCTAAAGAAGGCAGCCAAAAACTACAGTGAGATTTTCAAATCTCATCCTCTCCAACCATTGCAAACCTCATACAATGCACCTGTTTGTTTGTTTTCTTTCTTGTATCAGCTCTTTCATTGAAATGACCAGCATCTATAACAAAAACAGATTTCCATTGTCGGGGTGGATACCACCTTTGGCATTAACACACATTAATGCAGGGGGCCTCTTTGTGTCTGCTTTTTTCAATGCCAGCCAAAGAGTTGTGTTTCCAGTGGGCAGCATGGTGGGACTGTTGAGCTGCACAGATGCTACAGGCCAAGGAGTGTGGGAAGAGATGCTCTGCGCCTTTGTGAGCACGTCTACCACCTGCAAGCATCACACGCACTGTACAATAAAAGGCACTCAGCAAGCCATAACCCCATACGCATTACGGCCACTCTACAAACGGAACACTGACTCACTCTGTCTTGAATTAAAGACTTTGTGAAGTTTCAGCCACTATCCCTATATATTCTCTTACATTTTGTCACTAAAAAAGACTAGGTATTTCGGAGGCCTCAAAAGCTTTTGGGTCCTGCATGATAGAGGTATCTGTTCACAGAGTATTTAGCTCTTATAACAAAAAATGGAAACTTCTAAGGCTTGAAAAGGTATTGTATCCTTTCTTTATCTATAGAAAGCAGCAGCAAAAGTCAGTAAATTGCAGTTAAATTTCTTCTTAGTGCCAAAAGAACGAACATATTGTGGGCTATTAAAAGGAAGACTCTCATTAGATTGTAAACTGAGTCTAATGGATTGCTCATGGAATAGTGTCGTTTATCTTCGCGCAGTGGGCAATTAACGCATGACCTGGCGACACATGGGCGTCTCTGTCAGTGATTGGACTGGCTGCATGAGGTGAGGACTGCCCACTTGTGATGGCGGTCTGCTTAGGTGATGAACTTTTCAAGGATGTCACCATGTCTCTGATTCCAAATCATATGTTATTATATAGGTGCAAGTATATATAAAGTACAATGTCTTTAATAAAATTTGCCTTTATTTTATGGTATTAAAGTTCAGAATATACTTTTTTATTTAATCTTCTTAAAGAGTTATTTTTAAAATTCTATTTATTTATTATTATTATTATTTAATTTGACCAGGGAGATAGAGAGGGAAAGTAAGAAAGCAAGCCAGATCCAAGACTCAAACCAGGGTCGGCCATGTGGGAGTTCAGTGCCTAAATCACCACACAACCTGTTGGTTCCAAGAATATACATTTTAAAGTTTATTTATTTATTCCAGGAATGAGAGGGAGACAGGCTCCCCCAATAAGGTCTTTACACTGATGTCCCCTGTTTCAGCTTGTACCTAGTGTGTACATGGAAGATTAAAAACCTGGGACTTTCTCATGTTGGTCCAGTTGCATTACCAGTGCACCCTGTCTGACCCCTTTTTTAAAGTTAATATACTTTTTTTTTTCATGAGAGGAGGAGACTGAAAAAAAGAGAGACCTTCCCTGCACAGAGACTTTGCTATGGGATGCTCCCCATTCTCAGCCAGCCTGGATCAAAGGATGTCCATGTGCACTTGGTATGGACATGGAGGCCCCAGGACATGAACCTGCAACTTTCCCATATACATTTCATTGCCTTAGCAATGCACCACTATCTAGCCCTTAAAAAAAAAGTTTATTTATTTTATGAAAGAAGAGAGAGAGACCTTCAACACCATAATCCTACCCCAACCCCCAGACTAGAATCATGGGCACGCACATGCACACCCTTAGCATGCACAGAGGGATCCCATGATGCAAAACCAAGACCTGCCCACATAGCCTCAGCTTTGTGGATCTTTGTAGTACCATTGCCCCAGAGCAGTTGGCCCAAGATATACTCTGAGAACAAGGAAAGGGGAAGAAAGAGGGAAGCAAGGGAAAACAGAGAAATGGCATCAGTCAAAAGTCCACATTAGTCAGCGAGAATGGAAATATTAAGAGGCGTGGGAACTCATTCGTGGCCATGGACAAATGATCAGAAGAAAATAATGTGCTCAATAGAGAGACATGGCTTAGAGAAGAGAATAGCTCTGGGCTTTTGGTGAGAAAACAGTCATTCTAAACTATAAGCCTCCTAAAGGCAAAGTGCATCTCATGGTCTTTCTATTATACTAATGATAGAGATTCAGTTCCTTAAATTGTCATTGTATAAGCAACACTTCTGTGACACCACCTTCTACGGAGCCAAATAAGCATCTTTCCCTTTTCTCTCCAAAGAAGTTTCCGACTTAACTTTTCAGTCCTGCAAAGGTTACCTTTGGCCTCCTAAGCACAGCCTAATTTCACAGGACCCTGCAGGCCATCTGCATCAGCTGCAGCATCCACTTTCAGGCCCACCTCCCATCTCCTTCATTACACTTGCCCATTTATTTGCCTACATGCATCTTCTTTGCTGTTATTATTCACACTGTTTGTAGCATCCTCACCTCTCCTGGCCAATCCTGCTATTTAAGACTCCAGGTGTGTACAACTGTCTTCATAAACTTAAATAAATCTCCAAAGCAGAGATAACAGCTTCATCCACTGTGTTACCTATCACTCTTGGTGACAGCTCAGTGAAGTTCCCATCACGTGGCTTCCACAGCCAGTTTTATGTGCATTTCCTCTGCTGTTCATGTGCTCTTTGAGGCAGGAAGAGTGCCTCATTCTTCTTTTATCCACAGTTGCAGCATGTGTTGCATGAATGAATGAGTGAGAGAGTAAATAGAGGAGCAGGTGAGAATATGTGAGCTGGGAATGAAAAAGCCTGTAAGACAAACCTTCCACAACAGGATAGACTCTGAAGCATTATGTGTTTCAGAACTTACCATCAGGCACCCCAGCTATCAGGATCTCCACACAGCAGACTATGATGTGGTGCGGTCTAACCCCTGGTGCAATGAAATACCCCGGAGAATACAGTGGTAGACACTCACAGATGTGATCCACACACACTTGGTGTAGCAGATAGACTCACCACATCACATATGGGTTTCTGCCATAATTCACTGAAAAATAAAAGGCATAGTGATCCAATCAATTTGTGATGGGTTTTATAGGTAATAGTCATCTATTGAAGCATAAATTACATCACAAACATAGGCCCATAGGAGAATGTCCAAGAGCCATTACTATATTTAATGCCTGTATTACATAAGCTGAAGGCTCAGAAAGAGCTCTGACACATTTTTACATATTTTGAGTCAAACAAAAATGCTAAGCAAAACCTTAACAGGAACTGAAGAGATAATATAAGTGGTTCTAAATAAAAGTAAATGACAATAAAGACACATTTTCTAGCTCCTACTCCACACTCTTTAAAAAACAAAAGGGTTTGTTATAAGCAAACGCTGTTTAACTTATGGCATGTCTTGTTTCTGATTTAAAATCAGAAAAAATATTTAAAGCTATAGACTATCAATCACATATATTTGATAAAGTACCTGAAAATCATACAACTAAAGAATTCTTGTTTGTTTTTTGTTGTTGTTGTTGTTTTTGGACAGTTTCTTTCTTTTTTTTTTCCCTAAGGGTTTTTCTTTTGCCTTAGGGTGTGTGCACTTCCCAGAGAGAGAGTGAAAAGGAAAGTGAGAAATCACCCCTCAGGGGGATGGTCATACTGCAATCCCTTCTCCTCCATTCTCCTCTTGGAATTTTGGGCACACACACAAACTGCCCAACTGAGTTTGAAGCCACTGGGTCTGGGACTTGAATTGCTATTGCCCATGTGGGAGTTCAGTGATGGAACCATTACATCATCTGCTGGTCCCTTTAAGTGTTTTCTTTCTTTTTTTTTTCCCTAAGGGTTTTTCTTTTGCCTTAGGGTGTGTGCACTTCCCAGAGAGAGAGTGAAAAGGAAAGTGAGAAATCACCCCTCAGGGGGATGGTCATACTGCAATCCCTTCTCTTCCATTCTCTTTCCAGGATCTTGGGCATACACACACACACTT